GAGGTACTACTAATAATGATTGATGGCGATCCCAATGTATAATTTAACTTGGACGTCTCCACCATGAATCTTATCGATTGGAAAACCACGTTCGTACGGAAAATTCGAATATTTTTTAATTAATGACATGAAACTTGTTAGATCCAATCCATACATTAACTAAAGATAAAATATAGAAGAATTTATTATTTACCGGCAGTGGCGGAATTGTAGGTGGTGTAACCTCCTTTAACACTTCGACCACCGGTGATAATGGTGGATCTCATTCCATCTCCGACCAACATTATGTTATCGTTATTGAGACGTACGTTTATGTTTTCTTGATAGATTCCTCTCTTCACGTATATCACAAACCTCCCTGACGTCACTTTTCTCCGTCCAGCCACCTCAATTGCCGCTTGCACCGTCGTGAAATGTCCTGATCCGTCTTTCGCCACCACAACGTTAGCTCGAACAGCACGCGTAGATTGCAATTGTAGAAGTCTCCTCTCTTTGCTAGAAAGCCATGTGGGAAAACTTTTCCCATCAGCAGTGGTGGTGACGTTGTCTCCAGTGGGCAAGAGGGCTCCGTTGACGGCTAAGCAGTTGCTTATTAAGTGGGAGATTTTGGTGTTTGAAACAATCGGTGTGATAAAATCTGAGACGTTGAGATCGGATGAGCCGCGTCGGCAAGTCTCCGTGTTTGTAAGTGCGGTGCTCAGCCAGGTCTGGGCGTCGAAGTCGGTGCACCGTTTTCCGGCACCGGCTTTTGGCGACACGCCCTCCAGCGTTCTGGTTAGCTGCATGATCGTGTCTCCATAGAGGTCAATGCAGTCAGTCAAAACGGCTTGTTTCCGGCTATCGGTGCAGTTCTGCACAGACCGAGTCAGCTCGTCCCGGGCGGATATAGCCCGATCCATGGCTGCTTCCACCAGCATTACTCGGAACTCAGATAGTTGTGTCGGGAGTCCAAAACCATTGTGGTTTTTGAAGTAGCATTTGCATGGATCGGGGTAAGGAGTTTGGTCGCACCACCGGTCAATGCCGATTGTTGAATAACCACTGGCTACGTTGATGAGAGGATGGAGGCAGAGTAGTAATAGGAATAGTAAATGTAGAGATGGAAAAGAGATTTTGTGCATCATCACATGCATGTTACTAAATGATGTGGTTTTGGTGTGAGGAATTGAATGTAATTCAGAGTAAAAGGTTAGAGACTAGTAGAGAGTGGGAACATGATTCCAATCTATATAAATATATTGTGGTATTAACATTAAAGCAAAACTCAAATTTATATTGCGAAGTCATGAATGAGATTACCTTTGCGTCTATATTGTTTAGCTCGATCGATGGCTGTTTTCTTATTGCGTGAACGATTCTATCAATATTAGTACAAAGTTATTATTTTAGGGAGATTTTCAGGAGGTACTGCTACGTACTTATAACAACAATCCCGACTCTTTTTATCTTTTAGTAATTTAAGCTAGTTGTTACTAATCCTCGATGAAAGTCCGGAATTGTTGACAACAAAAAAATAAAAACAAAAAAGTCTAGAAATTTTGTGTGTATGGTATAGTATTTAGATGAAAAAGGAACATGATTTGATGTTAAATACATTATATAAAAGGAACATAATTAAAAGGAACATAATTAGTATTGTAACGCCTGTGAACCAAAAAAGTGAATTTTTGGTTGGT